ATGCTAGACTGGGTCTGCGGCAGGTGGTGAGGGAACCAACAAGAGGGAAGAACATACTTGACCTCATCCTTAGTAATCTGCCAGCTGCAGTTGCATCTGTCCATGACAGTATCAGTAAGAGTGACCATCACACAGTCCTTGTGGAGACAAAGTCCCACCTTCACATTGAGAACAACCTCCATCATGTTGTGTGGCACTATCACCGTGCTAAATGGGATAGGCTTCGCACACATCTAGCAACTCAAGACCATGCATCCATGAGGCGCTGTGGGCCATCAACAGCAGCAGAATTGTACTCCAGCACAATCTGTAACCTCATGGCCTGGCATATCCCCCACTCAACCGTTACCATCAAGCCAGGGGATCAACCCTGGTTCAATGGAGAGTGAAGGAGGGCATGCCAGGAGCAGCACCACGCATACCTGAAGATGAGGTATCAACCTGGTGAAGCCACCAAACAGGACTACTTGCATGCCAAACAGTGAAAGCAGAAAGTGATAGAGCTAAGCGATCCCACAACCAGTGGATCAGATCTAAGCTCTGCAATCCTGCCACATCCAGTCATGAATGGTGGTGGACAATTAAACAACTCACTGGAGGAGGAGGCTCTACAAACATCCCCATCCTCAATGATGGAAGAGCCCAGCACATTCGTGCAAAAGATAAGGCTGAAGCATTTGCAACAATCTTCAGCCAGAAGTGCCGAGTGGATGATCCACCTCTGTCTCCTCCAGTGGTGCCCAGCATTACAGATACCAGTCTTCAACCAATTCGATTCACTCCACGTGATACCAAGAAACAGTTGCAGACACTGGATATTGCAAACACTGCAGGCCCTGACGACAGTCCGGCAATAGTACTGAAGACTTGTGCTCCAGAACTTGCCGCTCCCCTAGCCAAGCTGTTCCAGTCCAGTTACAACACTGGTATCTACCCGACAATGTGGAAAATTGCCCAAATATGTCCTGTACACAAAAAGCAGGACAAATCCAACCTGACCAATTACCGCCCCATCAGTCTCCTCTCAATCATCAGCAAAGTGATGGAAAATGTCATCAAAAGTGCCATCGAGCAGCACCTGCTCGGAGACACCCCGTTTGGTTTCCGCCAGGGCCACTCCGCTCCTGATCTCATTACAGCCTTGGTTCAAACATGGACAAACGAGCTGAATTCCAGGGGTGAGGTGAGAGTGACAGCACTTGATATCAAGGTTGCATTCAATAGTGTGTGGCATCAAGGAGCCCGAGCAAAACTGGAATCAATGGACAAACTCTCCGGTGGTCATTATCATACCTGACACATAGCAAGATGGTCGTGGTTGTTGGTGGTTAATCATCTCAGCTCCAGGACATCTCTGCAGGAGTTCCTCAAGGTAGTGTCCTGGGCCCAACCATCTTCAGCTGCTTCCATCCATCATAAGGTCAGAGGTGGGGATGTTCGCCGATGATTGCACAATGTTCAGCACCATTCGTGATTCCTCAGATACTGAGCAGTCCATGTTCACGTGTAACAAGATCTGGTTAATATCCAGGCTTGGGCTGACCAGTGGCAAGTGACATTCGTGCCACACAAATGCCAGGCTACAACCATCACCAATAAGAGACAATCTAACCACCGCCCCTTGACATTCAATTGTGTTACCATCACTGAATCTTCCACGATCAACATCCTGGGGACTACCGTTGACCAGAAACGCAACAGGACTCACTACATTAACAAGTGGCTACAAGTGCAGGCCAGAAGCTGGGAATACTGCGGCGAGTAACTCATCTCCTGACTCCTCAAAGCCTGTCCACCATCTACAAGACGCAAGTCAGAAATGTGATGGAATGCTCCCCACTTGCCTGGATGGGTGCAGCCCCAACAGCACTCGATGCTTGACACCATCCAGGACAAAGCAGCCCGTTTGATTGGCACTACATCCACAAGCATTCACTCCCTCCACCACCGACGCTCAGTAGCAGCAGTGTGTACTATCTACAAGATGCACTGCAGAAATTCACCAAAGATCCTCAGACAGCACCTTCCAAACCCACGACCACTTCCATCTAGAAGGACAGTTGCATCAGACATGAGGGAAAACCATCACATGCAAATTCCTCTCCAAGTCACTCACCATACTAACTTGGAAATATAGCGCCGTTTCTTCACTGTCACTGGGTCAAAATCCTGGAATTCCCTCCATAATAGCATTGTGAGTCAACCCACAGCAGGAGGAATGCAGCAGTTCAAGAAGGAAGCTCACCACCACCTTCTCGAGGGCAACTAGGTATGGGCAAGAAATGGTCTAGCCAGGCACGCCCACATCCCACAAATGAAAAGAAAAAAAATCTCTGAGGAACTTGATGCTCTTCACCCTTTCAACATCCGTTCCGTTGATATAGCTGGGAGCGAGTTCTCCTGTTTTCTTTCTGAAGTTGATCAGTTCTTTAGATTTGCTGATGTTGAGAGACTGTTTTCATTGCACAATCTATGTCACTAAGCCCTCTATCTCCCTTCTGGATTTTGACTAGTCATTGTTAGATATCCGTCCCACTACGGTGGTGTCATCAGCGAACTTGTAGATGGTGTTCACTTGGAATTTGGCAACACAGTCATAGGTGTACAGGGAGTACAGTAGGGGGCTGAGGACACATCCTTGGTGGGGGGAGGGCTCCAGTGTTGAGTGTCATTGTGGAGGAGGTGCAGTGACCTAGCCTCGCTGATTGCAGTTTATAGGTCAGAAAGCTGAGGATCCAGTTGCAGAGAGCGGAGCCGAGACCAGTTTTGAGATCAGTCTGGAGGGGATAATGGTGTTGAAGGTGGGGCTGTAGTCCATGAGCAGGAGTCTCACGTAGGTGTCTTTGGTGTCCAGATGCTCCAGGGATGAGTGCAGGGCCAGGGAGATGGCATCGTCTGTGGACCTGTTACGTCAGTAGGCAAATTGTAGGGGATTGAGGCAGGCTGGGAGACTGGAGTTGATGTGGGCCATAACCAGCATCTTGGAGCACTTGATGATTGTTGAAGTCAGAGCTATTGGGCAGTACTCATTAAGGCACACTGCATGTGTTTTCTTGGGCACAGGGATGACAGTGGTCCTCTTGAAGTAGGTGGGGCCTTCAGCTTGTAGGAGGGACAGGTTGAAGATGATCTGATGTCTGAAGTGGTGACAAGGGGAACAGGTGTGTCTGGGGCTTTCGGGGCAGGTGTTGCCGTGATGGTGATATTCTGCTCAAACTGAGCATAGGAAGCATTGAATGTCACGGGGAGAGATGTGTCATTGTCCGCGATCTTACACTGATTCATTTTGTATCTCCTAATGTTGTTTCGGCCGAGCCACAGATGGCGAGTCTGTTTGGTAGGCCTGGGCTTCTGACTTGGTCCGGTACTGCTTCTTGGCCTCCCTGGTGATTCATGGACAAGGATTCCTAAATCCCCCTGTGCTGTAGCCTTCTTCACTCTGTGCTTGATCATCAGCAAAATGATGGGAAGTGTGCATTTCAGTTGCACCTGGAAAGGAATACCTTTCTCATTGGTGCTCAGTTTTAGGTTCAACGATGGCTTGTTGGCTCCTGATCTCATTACATTGTTAATCCCAACATGCATGCTTGCCTTCATTGGTCAGAGCACTGAGTGTAGGAGTTGGGACATCATGTTGCAACTGTACAAGACACTGGTGTGGCCACTTTTGAAGTACTGTGCATAATTCTTGTCACCCTGCTATAGATAAGTGTGCAGAAAAGATTTACAAAGATGTTGCCAAGACTGGGCCTTCTTTCCCTGGACCGTAGAAGGCTGAGGGGTGACCTTTGCAGAGGTTTTATAAAATTATGAGAGGTATAGATAAAGTGAATAACTGAGGTCTTTTCCCCAGGGTATGGGAGTCCAAAAATAGTGGGCATAAATTTAAGGTGAGAGGGGAAAGATCTAAAAGGTCCCTGAGGGACAACTTTTTCACAGAGGGTAGTGCATGTATGGAACAAGCTGCCAGAGGAAGTGGTAGAGGTGAGTACAATTACAGCATTTAAAAGACATTTGGACAGGTACATGGAAAGGAAAGGTTTACAGGGACATGGGCCAAACGCAGGCAAATGGGACAAGTTCACTTTTGGAAACTTGGTTGACGTAGATGAATTGAGCCAAAGGGTCTGTTTCTGCCCTGTATGATTCAATGATTCTAAGAGCTGCTCTTGAAGTGAGGTAAAACCGCCTGCTCTAGATGTCATGGCTCCACATGACCAAGCATGGCATCAAAGAACCAGAGCAAAGCTGACGCCAGTGGGAATCAGGAAAACCATTTAGTTATTATCATAGCTAATATAAAGGAAGATGGTGTAGTTGCTGGAGATCAGTCATGTTATTTCCAGGATGTTGCTGCAGGACTTCCCTGGCTTGGCAATCTAAGCCCAAGCCCTCTTCAGCTACTTCATCACTGGCTTTTCTTCCACTGTAAGGTCAGAAGCAGAAATATTTGCTGATAATTGCTCAATGTTTAGTACTTCACAATTTCTCAGATCTGAAGGAGTCCATGTGCATCAAGACCTCGCCAATATCCGGGATTGGGCAACAAGTAACAAGTAATATATGTGCCACAAAAATGCTAATGACCATCTCAATTGAGACAGTATCTAACCATTGAGTTATAATTGGAATTGCAGCTCATAATAATACAGCAGAAGTGTCTTGATGAGGCTTTTGGAGAATGCCAATGGAGGCACAACTGTCTGTCTACTGTCTACTCTTTGTTTAATTTTTGTTACACTGAAGATTTTTCTTGTCTTTCTGTGCATACTTTACGCATTATGGGTTTTTCAAATTAAGTGGAAGTGACTTCATTTTACAAAATTAAAAAAAAAAAGCCAAGAGAAGCAGTGACTTAGTAAGTCTATGTCTTATTGTGCTTCTTGTAGAAAGAAGGCCCAATTGCCATAGTTGGTACAGAAATGTGTTGAAAGTTTTGAGGTTTATTATCTTAGTACAAACCCAGAAATAAAACTGATGGATACAATTATCTTTTACAGACTTTAAATCCAAAATGGAATGAAGAATTTCTTTTCAGGGTAAGTGCTAACAAATGTTTTAAACCTCTCTCTATTCCCCTCCATTCTCACCTACAAGAAGAAATGAGATGAGCTCATGGACTTGTTTGCAGTGCCAATTCAGACCATCTGATCATCTACCTTCTATCTTTCTCTGTTTTCTTTTGCATGCTTCCTTGTGCGCTCCAGTAGCTCATTTTATCAATGAAACCCACCTCCGCATCCCTTGACCCATTCCTCTCAAGACTGGTTACCATCCAACTTGAGTTCCAGTCTCCATGGTTAGCCTACATTGCTAATGGTTTTTTAATCTCCAGTACAGTCCCACTCTCTTCTAAACTTATTTTCATTCTCCACTCTTCAAAATAACAAAGTTGCACTGTTCCAATCCTGTAAATTACCACTCAATCTCTAACTGTACTTTCCACTCCAGACTCCTTGTTCATGCTTACTGAATTGGTGCTCATCTTACATCGAAGCCTAGGGGAATCTCTCCAATCAAACCTTAGCCCCGGCACCCTGCTGAAATGCTTCTTTGTGATCCTTTGTGATTTGGCAAAGGTAAACTGCCATTCTGTGGTCTTTGTTCACACCATCCTCCTCCAGTACTCAATCCACACGTTTGCTGACAACACACAGTTCAAACTTGCTACCACCTCTTGTCCAATACTAAATACTGATGAAAAGTTTCACCTATCCAAATGTTAGGAAGACGAAAGCTGTTTTCTTCAGTAATGACCACAAACTGAATCTGTAGCCACCCATTACATCAGTCTCTGGTAACAGCATGAAGTTAAGTCAGACTGTTGGCAAACTCTGTCATCTCAGTATTATCAGGGAGAGATACGGGAACAAATGTATAATTAAATATCAAATAATAAGGCAGTAATGATAGAAGATTTTAATGACTCAAATATTAACTGAGATGGTGACGATCCAACTTGAATTCCAATCTCCATGGTTAGCTTATATTGTTAATGGTTCTCTAATCTTGGGTACAGTCCCACTGTCCTCTAAATTTATTTTCATTCTCCACTCTTCAAAATAATGGGGAGATGATGGCCTAGTGGTATTGCTGGACTGAGACCCAGAGATCATCCAGAGATTCCAGATAATGTTCTGGGAACCCGGGTTCAAATCCCGCCACAGCAGATGGTGGAATTTGAATTAAATAAATATCTGGAAATAAGAATCTAATGATGACTGTGAATCCATTTTCGATTGTCAGGAAAAAAACAATCTGGTTCACTTTAGTGAAGGAAACTGCCATCCTTATCTCGTCTGCCCTACATGTGACTCCAGACCCACAGCAATGTGGTTGACTCTTAACTGCCCTCTGGGCAATTGGGGATGGGCAATAAATGCTGCCGAACCAGTGACGCCCACGTCTCGTGAATGTATAAAGGAAAATAACAATGTTGCACTCTTCTATTCTGGTAAATTACTATCAAATCTCTGACCACCCTCCAGTCTTGAGAAGAACAGGTCAAGGGAGGTGGAGGTGGGTTTCATTGTTAAATGAGGGCACGAGGAAGCATGAAAAAGAAAATTGAGAAAGATGTAAGTTAGATGATCAGATAGTCTGAATTGTCATTGCAAACAAGTCCATGACAAGTCCACTTTAGCATGCAAGAAGAGAGGGAGCAAAATTCTGAAATTGTTCTGAGGAAAGCTTTTTAAGTCAGTACTTGGAAAGCTCAACAAGGGAGGAGTGAGTTCCAGATCTAATCATTGGAAACGAGCCCAGGCAGGATGAAGGTGTCAATATTTTAGGAAGCATTTTGGAGATAGCAACCAGAGCTCAGGTGGATTTAAGGAAGTTATGGAAAAGGATAGGGATAGGCCAGGCATAAAAGTTTTAAACTGCAGAAAAGCAAATTTTATTGAGGTAAGGTATGATTCAGCCCAAATAGACTAAGAGCAGCTACTGGCAGATAAAACTGTCAGTGAAGTGGGAGGTATTCTAGGAGGAAATAGCAAGAATATAGGACTAGCATGTTCATGTAAAGACAAAGAGAGGGTCCAGCAAATTCTGGATATCAAGGGACATAATGGTCAGGATTAAGTGAATAAAAAGAGAATCTTACAGCAGATATTGAGGGTTCAATATGGCCGAGTCCCAAGAAAAATATAAAAAGTGCAGGGTGATCTTTGAAAAGGAAATTAGGAATGCAAAGAGAGGGCATTTTAAAAAAAAAAGTTGGCAGATTTTCTGAATATATAAAGAGCAAGAAAATAACTGGGGAAAGATTAGGGTTCATTAGGGATCATAGAGATAATGCGTGTGTAGACTGGAAGATATGGACACAGTCCTCAGTGAACACTTTCTGTCTTTTTTCAAACTGGAAAAGGGTGACACAGGGAGGAAGACTGTAAAATATTTGAAGAGATTAACGTAGATAGGAAGTACCAGTGGATTTAGCATCCTTCAAAGTGGACAAAATCTGAAGGCCTGGATGAGATATATTTCAGGCTGTTAAGGGAGGCAAGGGTGGGGGGACGCAGATATCATGGGCCCTGGCAGTAATTTTCAAGTCCTTTCTGGCCACAGGTGAGGCTCCAGACATCTGCTAATGCTGTCCCACTACTAAAAGAGGGAGGAAGGAAATAGACCAGGAAATTGCAGGTCAGTCAGTCTAACCTTGGTGGTGGGGAAGTTTATGAGAAAAATTTCCAAGGGACGGAATAAACCTGTACTTGGAGGGACACGGAATAATGTAGCATAGTTAGTTTGGATTTGGTAAAAGATGGTCATGTTTGACAAATTTGATCAACCGTTTTGGGGAGGTGACCAGGAATGCTGATGAGAACCCAAAATTGGCTGAGGCCAGAAGCAAAAAATGATGCTCGACAGTTTTTGTGATTGGTAGTCTGTGTCCAGTAGGGTTCTATATAGCTAGGTTCTGGGGCCCAACTGTTTGTGGTGTACGTGAATGATTTGTACTTAAATATGGGAGATATGATCAAGATGTTCATGGATGACACAGACTTGAATGTTGCAATGCATTCCTGGCAGTTCTGTCATTCTGCCTTCTGTCAACTCGATATATCCAAAACACTGCTGCATGTGTAATAACTTGTGCCAAACTCAATTGGTCTATCACGACATGCCATTGAGTCATACAGCAAAGAAATAGAGCCTTCAGCCGATCACGTCTATGCCAATCAACAAATACCAAACTACACTAATCCCATTTACCTGCACTTGATCTGTAGCCCGTGATGCCCTGGCATTTTAAGTGCTTATCAAAATGGCTTTCTAATGTTGCGAGAGTATGTGCTTCCTTTATCCTCTCAAGAAGCACGTTCCATTTTTCTACCACCCTCTGGGTGAAAATATTCTTTCTTAGATCTCCTCTAAACCATTTACTCCTCACCCTTAAACCTGTGCCTCTGGTCTTAGACACATCTGCCACTGGGAACGGATTCTCCCATTCTACTTTATCAGAGCATAGAAATTTTGTATACTTCAATCTGATTCCCCCTCAGCCTTCTCTGCTCCAAGGAAAGCAAACCCAAACTGTCCAGTCTCTGCTCATATCTGAGAGTTTTCTTCCCAGGCAGCATCCTGGTGAATTTCCTCTATACCTTTTCCAATTCAAGCGTGCCCTTCTGAGCATGGTAACCAGAACTGTACACAGTATTCCATCTGTGACTTGACTAATGTTTTATAAAGTTGTAACAAGATTTTATTTCTCTTAATTCTATGCCCTGGCTAATGAAGACAAGCATCTCATATGTTTTCTTCACCCTGTCTATCCGTGCTTAGACATTCAGGGATCTATGGACTTTACACTAAGGTCCCTTTGTTCCTCAGTACTCACTAGGAACCTGCTATTCATTGTTTGTATCCTTCCTTAGTGAACCTCCCAAAATGCATCACCTCACACTTCTCAGGATTAAATTCCCTCTGCCATTGCTCTGCTCAATTTACCAGCTGATCAATATCTGACTGTAGCGTGAGTCTATCCTCCTCCTTATCACCAAGACTGCCAATTTTTGTGTCATCTGCAGACTAATTAGTTATATCTTCTGTATTTAGGTCTAGGTCATTAATGTACATCACAAGGGTCCCAGCACCAATTCTTGTGTTACAGCCGTGGTCACAAGCTTCCAATCACAAAGCATGCCTTGATCAGCACCCTTTGCCTCCAGTTTGCAAGCCAGTTTTTGACCCAGTGTGCCAACTTGTCTTGGATCCTGTGGGCTCATTAGCATTTTGACCGGCCTTCCATGTGGGACCTTGTCAAAGGCCTGACAGAAGTCTATGTAAACCACATCAACTGCATTAATTTCATCAAAATATTTAGTCACCTTTTTTAAAACAATTCAATACAATTAGTCAGATAGGACCTCCCTTTAACAAATCCATGCTGACTATCCTTTGATCAATTCCTGCCTTTCCAAGAGTCGATTAATCCTGTGTCAATTTTTTCCAATAATTTCCCTACCTCTGACATCGGACTAACTGGTCTCTAATTAACTGGCCCATCAATTAACTGCTGCCCTTCTTTAACAAAGGAACCTCATTAGCTATCTTCCAGTCATCTGACACTTCACCTATAGCGAGCAACGTATTAAATATCTCCACCAGGGCCCCAGGAATCTCCTCCCTTGCCTCCCATAGCAGCTTGAGATACATCTCATTGGCCCCTGGGGATTTATGCCCAATAAAAATCTCTTCCTCCTCTTTAATCTTAACATTTGCTAGAACCTCACCATCCCAACTGAAATCCCCAGCTACAATGTTTTTCTCATCTGTGAATACAAGTGAGAAATATTCAGTTAAGACCTCACCCACATCCTCTGGTTCCATGCATAGGTTGTTTCTTTGGTCTCTAATAGACTTCACTCTTTCTCAAGTAACCCTCTTACTCACGAGATAGTAGGAACTGCTGATGCTGGAGAGTCTGAGATAACAAGGTGTAGAGCTGGATGAACACAGCAGGCCAAGCAGCATCAGAGGAGCAGGAAAGCTGACGTTTCGGGTCTGGACCCTTCTTCAGAAAATCTTCAGAATTCATCCAGCTCTACACCTTGTTACCTCTTACTCATTATATTCTTTTGAAATGCCTTAGGGTTTTCCTGAATCTTCCCTGCCAAAAATATTTTGTGGCTCCTCTTTGCCCTCCTAATTTATTCTTTCAGCAACCCCTTACACGCCGTATACTTTTGAAGGACCTCCCTGTTTTAAATACACTGTACCTGACACATGCTTCCTTCTTTATCAAACTTTCAATCCCTTTATCACTGACTTCACGTCGCTTTTCTTTAGGCAGTGCCTCAACTTAATAAATGTTTTTCAGTTTAGTTAGCAGCAAGCCCCATTCTCCTATCCTCTCACTGTTTCCTTGCTGGCTTGCATTGGCTCCTGGTCCAGTGCCATGGTGATTTTAACATTCTTGTTCTTGGTTTTTCTTCTGTACTCTTGTGTCTCCTTGTCTCTAACCTTCTCCAGACATGAAATATCTGTGCTTGTCTGATTCTGCTGCTTGTGCATTTCCAGTTGCTCCAGCATTATTGGCTGTGGCTTCAGTTGTCTGGGGCTTTAAGCTCTGGAATGTGCTCCAGACGTCTCTCATCCCTTTGCCTCCCCCTCTCCTGAATTCATCCATTCAAACCTAAACTCTTTGCCAGGCGTTTGGTTACCTGACCTAGTGGGTAGAGCTTCACCTTGGAATTCGAGCAGCCGGTTACAGGCATAAATCTGGGTTTCATAAATGTTCGAGAGGGTAGCAGGATTTCCAACTCAATTTTACCCGTGGCACCTCAGCAGCATCACTACGAGTCATGATCATCACTAAGGCATGCAGGGCCCTTGGATGATGTAGGCTGATTAAACCTTTTTAAAAACTTGCAAACAATAGCGAAGAAGGGGAATCCCCTTGGACATAAATGGTAGGACCAAGGGGTCTGCCATCCCTGCCCCATGGCTCCCTGTTTTCATTCTCTCCCAATCTGCACTGCCCCCTTCACCACAGCTGGAGCTGTGAGGGTATCTGTATTTAGCTACATTTGATTTCCAGTTGACAATATATCAACCTTCTGACAAAATGGCCATTTGTGAGCCATTTAAATATTGAAATTTGCCTTGTCCTCCTTGTGACAGGATGCCTGTTTAAAAATGGTCCTGCCATAGGTTAAATGTCCCAATGCCAGGATTTGTCCTGTTTGATTTTGCATCTGCCTGGTGAGGTTGATAATATTGTTATTTGTTATCATTATTACGTGAAACTGGCGGCATCTCCTGGTATCATAATATGTGCAGTTAAGTGTGGAAATTCAGAGTTCAGTGTCACTGCTTCCTGACTGGTCTACATGGTAAGCTGTAATTTGTCCTTTCAGATGAAAATAAATTGGAATTGAGTGATCTGATGAGAGCTTTCACTTTTTTACACTCTTGCAGTAAAATTTCTTTGAAGGTTTTTCCCATATTGAATGGTATATTACTGGGATTTTTAATAAATAATTGCTAGTTAGTACAAAACTTCAACATCGGTAAAAAGAGACAAGAAATCCAAGATGGAATCAGAGATAGTAGGAACTGCAGATGCTGGAGAATCCGAGACAACAAGGTG